TCAAATCTAAACACACAGGTCAAATCTAAACACACAGGTCAAATCTAAACACAAGGTCTCACTATTATATCCACCTCACAATAGAAAGACAAAAAAGAAAAAGAAAAAGAAGAAAACTGTTCAGCAGCAGTCTGGCTCGGCCGGTCAGACAACTGTGTAGACGTGAACGTGTGGTCAGAAGCAGTAGCTACAAACTGATCCTATGTATAAACCATCTCAAAGATTCAGGATGGTTGGAGGAGGAGGAGGAGGAGGAGGGGGATGGTTGGAGGAGGAGGAGGAGGTGCAGAAGGAGGCGGAGGTGAAGAATAAAAAGGCCAAAGGTACTTCTGAGAGGATGTGTAACAGATTAAGACTAATGACGACCACCACAGGAGATTTAGCTTCACCACTAAACCTGATCCTTCTTGTTGTTTGTGCAATAACCTTTGTGGCCAGCAGGCGGCGACTAACATTTTAAAGCTTGGATTTGTGAGGTTTGACTGCACAGATGAGTGTGAATGAGTATAGGTGAGGGTGCCTCTCTGGAGCTGATTTCCTATTTTTTCCGTTTGTATTTCAGGAGAGTTTCTACCTTCTCGAAGTAAAGGTACATTTCTGTTGTTTGTCATAGTTTTGTCAAATGTTCTGTTGTTTTATTGGGTAAAAAGACTGACATTGTTTGAAACTTTTTCTATTTTTCTACTAAGTTAATATTAGGAAGGAAAAACTTTAGGAAATGTATTTATTTTTAGTTCAAAGTTTTATGTTGTTCTGTTGGGTTTTTTTTTTTTGCTTTTTTAAAATTTAATAAAGTTAATAAAAAATTCATGAGACAATAAATATATATTTTTTTGCTCTAAAACATTCAGTTGTAGGAATGCAAGCAAAGAAGAAATTACCAGGGATTGAAGCTGTGGAGGAAGAAGAGCCAGGAGAGGAAGAGGAAGAGGAAGAGGAGGGGGAGGAGGCAGCTGATAATAGGGAAGGCCAGGAGGCAGAAGAGTATGAAGAAATAGAGGAGGAGGAAGAGGAGGGGGAGGACGAAGAGTATGACGAGGAGGAAGAGTATTGGGAGGAGAGTATGAGGTACGAGGAAGAGGAGTATGAGGAAGAGGAGTATGAGGAAGAGGAGTATGAGGACGAGGAGTATGAATATGGAGAAGAGGGGGAAGAACTAGAAGAGGAAGAGGAGTATGATGAGGAATACGAGGAGGAGGAAGAGGAAGAAGCAGCTTCTGAGGAAGAAGAGGAGGATGAAGATGAGGAGGAAGAAGAGGCTTCTCCTGAACCGAGTCCCACCCCTGAGGAGGAAGAGTCACCTGAGTCTGATGAACCTGTGGACGTCAGAGACAGCGATGAAGAAGATGATGAAGATGAGGAAAAAGAAGAGGACGACGTCGTCTCTGTTGACACCTCGGACCTCAGTGATGATCTTGTCTCCAGTGAAGAAGAGGAGGACGATGATGAGGATGATGAAGAAGATGATGAAGATGACCGACTGGCCGAGGGCTTCATCGACAGTGAGGAAGAGGAGCTGGAGATTCCTCCTGTCGCTGCTGTGACTAAAGCAGAGGACGAGGATGATGATGATGATGATGATGATAAACTTGAAGATGAAGAGAAGGAAAAAGAACTTCCTTTGTCTGCCGCTGAAGAAGACGAAGATCATGACGATGAAGAAGTCAACGGGGCTGAGGACACCGATGAGGACGACGACGATGAAGACGTCTCGGTTGCCTCTTCTGAGCACTTTGCAGATGATGAAGATGACGACGATGAAGATGATGACCTTGAGTCTGACAAAGATGTCCATGCTGATGTGGACAAGGAGGACAAAACCCCTGAAGAAGAGGAGGATGATGAAGAGGCGGATGTTGCTGCCGTGGAGAGCAGTGACAGTGGAGTCTTAGGGGACGATGACGAAGATGACGATGAGCTAAAAACAGATGATGACTCTCTTTTCACTGAGGACACGTCGGATGAAGACGATGATGATGAAGATGATGAAGATGATGAAGTACCTGAAGACAGCGTGTCCAGCTCGTCTGAAGTCTCCCAGGATTTGTTGAAGGATGTGGACAAAGACAAAGTCACATCAGAGTCAATCGCCGTAAAGGATGAAGAAGAAGATGAAGATGATGACGATGATGAAGATGACGATGATGACGAAGATGAAGATGATGAAGACGCTCTCCTCATTGGTAGATAAACAGGTCATATTTTTCTAAATGGACTTAAATCCAACACTTTAGAACCAATGTTGACGTTCAAGCTGTGCTGTGTGTTTTAGCAACTGCTGCAGTAGCGTCCACTGTCCAAGAGGAGGCAGAAAAAACAGGAGTGGACCACAAGGATGACGAAGAAGAAGAGGAGGAAGAGGAGGAAGAGGAGGAAGAGAAGATCAGTCAGACAGAAAATAAAGATAAGAGCAAGAAAGCTGAAGCTGAAGCTGAAGATCCAGGTCGGTTTCTGTCAGAACGAGCTAATATGTTTAAGCTAACAATTAGTATATCTTAGTATTTAGAGGTTTTTTTAACTTTAAACTTTATTTCTGGATATTTTTTGTGATATTGTGGATTTTACCAAGTAATTCCCGTCAACATTGATCTAATGAAACCAGGAAGCTAACTACTTTTAGGTTACTGTTAAATTGTAAGGTGAAATGTTTTGATAATATTTAGCTAACTCTTTCCTAGCTACATTTGAAATACTTTTGCTTTTATTACAATATATTTTTGGCAAACACTGGAATATAATCTTTGTTCAGATGTATTTTTTTAAAACTCAAGCATATATTTAATCCTTTCTCTCACCTTCAGCTCTGGGGACGGCTGCAGCCGCAGCTGCTGCTGCTGTGGGTGAAGAGGAGGACGATGAGGAAGCAGAGCCAATGATCGAAACCCAGAAGACCGTGGATGAAGCAGAGGACCGGGAAGAGGAGGTGGAGGAAGACGACGATGAGGAGGAGAAGGCCACGGTGGACGTCATCAAACCTCTGCCTGAACCTGAGGAGAGGAAGGAGGAGAAGGAGAAGAGTGAAGCCACAGGTCTGATGAAGCTCAACAGCTGGATTTAAAACATCTGAACTGTCCCTTTAACCCTGTGACTCTGCTCTCATTGGTCCAGTCTGTCCATGCCTGCACTCAGCCAAGACCAAAGAAGCTGCCACCAAAACTGAGGAGAGACGAGGTTCATTCTCTGTCTTCTACATCAGTCACAGTTGTTAGTTAACTCTAACTGACCTAGTTAGTTGTGTTAAAGTCTGTCAGTGTGGTGTATGTTTATCTTCCTCTCATTTTCCCTGTGTTTCCCTGAGGAGCAGAGTTTAAATTACAGTGGCAAATGTAGCACATTTTTTGAATCAAAGTAAAGGTTTTCATTTTTTTCCAGAACCTTCCAGAAGGGTCACAGCAGTGCATCGGAGAAAAGGTCAGAACTGTACACAAACTCCAGTTCTAGTGTCTTAAACAATCGCGGAGCCACTTCCTGTTCTGTCTGTTTGTTTTCTCATTTTTTTCATGATTCCAGAGCGTGAAGCTGTGAAGACGGAGGAGAAGCCCAAAAGAAAAGGTAAGAATTGACGACAGAGCAGCTGCTGTTTGTTTTGTTGTTTTCTTCTTGGATTTTTTATTTCTTATCCTGCCTTGTTTTCAGCTCTTCCCAGAATTGTCAGCATGGAACCTAAAGTCAGGAGGATCAGGAAAATCCCTGCTCTGCTCCGAGGTCCATCAGTCACATTCCAGCATGTATTCAAACTTGCGTTATTATATATTTAGCCATCGATAACTCACACTGAAGGTGTCTTCAGCTCATTTCTAACCATAGTACTGCTTTTAGCATGCTAGCTAGTCCTTGTTTATTTTTTGTTTGGTTTTGATCTCATCATTTAGCTGTCAAGGCTAACATGAAGTCTTTAGAACCAGACTGGCTCAGGTACTTTTGTACTGAAGCGAATGTATTCTGCTGAACATTAGTCGTTTCATGGTTAAAAAAAACAGCATTTTTGCAGCAACACTTTATTTGTTCTTTATTTTATTATTTTCATATCAAAGCGGTTGTTACTACGTGAAGTGACAACGTTAAATATTGTTCTGTTTGTTCTGGTGGATGAACAACAAACAGCCAAGAGAGAGGAGAAACCCAAGACTGTCAAAGCAGCGAGACAGGTGCTGGAGACCAAAAGACAGGACGAGGTCACAGAACCGGGTCACGAAGGTCAACAGCTACACTGACGTATTACCAATGACTGGACACACACTGCTGGTTCTACTAGCATTCATATTCTGTTCTTCTGTTTCAGTGGGCCCCTGCAAACCTGCACCAGTCTACTGTCCGTCTCCACCTGGCTGGTACGGTAAGTACTACACCTTTAGGCTTCTCTTTATTTTGGGATTAAATGTGTGTCGATTTATCCCTGGTTGAACTTTGAGCTCCGATCATTAGTGATGTTCAATAGGCTGATAATGCAGGGCACTGATGTACAGGGCTGTACTTGGGGTTAATGTGTCTTTTCTGTTTTCAGTTCATCACATTGTCACTGACAACCCCTACCCTCCTCCCACCCCCTCAGGTATCAGCTCCACCTTCAACCTGTCAAACTCTGACAATAGGAGGTAACAATACACACACATATATAAATATATATTTGTTTGTCCTTCAGCTCCATCTGCTCCTGTCCTGACTGTCCACCCTGGAGCCCCCCCCATGCAGCCTCTTTACCAACAGCCACTAATGCACCCGCTGCAGTATCAGCCCTTCCCTCTGCCCCTGATGCAGCCGGTGATGCAGCCTCAGCCAGAACCAGCTCCACCTGCTGACCCAGAGCCAACGGAGGCTGCAGAACCACAGGCTCCACGGGAACCAGAGGTTGAGACCCCAGCTGCTGAAGCTCAGAGCAGTGAAGCTGCTGCTGCTGCTGCTGCATCCGACCCAGGGGAGCAGCCGTGAGACTCTTACAGACCTCAAGAGAG